AAAATTGCAAAAACTGTATGATCTTCAACCGTTTCAATGTGTCCACGACTTAAGTAGAAATTTACCGAGCAAAGTTATCACAGATTGATCGAAAAGTAGAAACATAGCATCGATAGGTAATTGGACGAACATATATCTGAAAATTTTAAAAAATAAAAACATATATAATAAGTAAATAAGATACGCACAAAAAACGCACAACATAAACATAAAATACGCACAACACAAGCAACGATCACGCACAATATACGCATAGAGTACTCACAACATACGCACAAAGAACGCACATTTCAGAAAATATGACAGCAAAGTATACGCACGCATAAAGTACGCACGCTGTATGTACACACAACATAAGCAATTATTACGCACAATATACGCATAACATACTCATATAGTATGCACAACATATGCATAGAGTACTCGGTGCTTAACATTTAGTTATGGTTTATGTTTCAAATTTCAACATAAATTCATAAACCCTAAATACAGAGAAAACTCAATGGAATCAAAGTATCAATCAAACATTTAAAAAGTTTCGAGAAGCACCGCATACGCATAGCGTAAGCATAAAAAAAATGAAGAACTTCAAAACCTTGAACACCTACGCATAACATAACCATAAAATACATAGACTGAACAGAAATCATGGCAGCAAATTGCTTTTTTCTTGGTGGGTGACGACATCTGAGAAGGAACTGAGGGAATGCTTGGAATTGCTCCGGAGTGAATGTTTGGAAGTTGGAACGTTTGCTGGAACTTGAAAACCGTAACGCAGCGTCTGACATTCGACCTTTATCAGGGTTTAAATGTTGATGCCATGTCGACATCTCACTAGGCGCAATTAGGGGTCGGAACTGAAAAAAAAAGGTTAATTTTATTAGAGGCGTCGCCTAAAAAATGTGAGGCGAGGCACACCTTATGGCGCGCCTCATTAAACTTGAGGCGTAAGCCTCAAAACCTTAACTTATTGCGTAGGTTATAAGGCTTAAAGGGACCACATTGCGGTAAGGCGCGCCTTTTATTGCGCAATTTTAAACCATGGCCCTGAGTCCTTTGTTTGAGGGCATGGTGGTGCTGTCATTATTGGACCGTGGTGCTAGACTGAAGTTCTTTCACATTTTTCTTCTTTAGAATTTCCTGCCCAAAATAATAAAAATTTAGTGACTTTTTACTGAAACATAGCCAAGTAAAACATCACTTTTGCTAACTTAACAAAATTAAGGCAACTCTTATGTTTAGACATGTTCTAGCAAATTGATATATTACTTTCATAAGAGTGCTGGTCTTATTCCTACATGAAGACTGACATGGTTATTGGAGAATTTTCAATGACACCATAAAGGTTGAATGGTCAGTCTTTAGTTTTTACATTTGTTAATCCATCTGCTTTAGTTTTTACATTTGTTAATCCGTCTTCAATATTCAGAATTGCTGAACCAAAAGAATGTGAGCATGGAAACCCCATTTGAGGAGCATTCAGATAAAATGATGGATTTTTTGGATTGCTGATAATTAATTGGCCAAGTGTACTTATGCTACTGTTTATGCGATTTTTTATTAGTTCGTTATCTTATGTGTCTTCTATTCGTGTGTTATTTGACATTTGGATAAAAAAAAAACAAAGTATGAATATTAGCAACTTTTGACATGACTTAAAAAAGTTCTGTACTATTGATTGCTGTCATCCATTTTGATTAGCTTGCAAATATATCGTGAATTGTTTGCTATTCTTTAGTGTTTACCATAGAATTAACCGAAGTGGGAATCAAATAAGTTGACATTGTATTTTGGCCCATATCGGCGAGTCCTCTGCAGCAGACACAGCTCGAGCGACCGTCTTTGAAACCATGACCGTCTTTGAAATCAATGGTCCACTAGTGACCTCCAGCATGGCAAACTGATTTCCGCAAAGGCTAGATTTGTCTTATGGCAATGAAAAATGAAAACATATGCCTTATGTGTCCTTTTCAAGTAGTTAGGATTTTATTAGTTAGAGAGGCAAGCGTCCAATGCTGCTTTGTTAAATAGAAAAGTGATGTGAAACCAGGAATTGTTTCTTAGAAATTAATAAGAGTTTGTTAGAATAATGATAATGCAATTTTAATGCTTCTCCCAATTGACACTTCAATAGAGATCTTAGAATTTAACAAAGTCTAGGCAAGTTATTACAACTAAATTTGCAAGATATATATAATAACAACCTCGATCAAAAGTAATGACAATGAATAACCAACTAGAATCCGGCGGTTAACATAGTGATCGTCTCACCTTGAGGCTTAAAAGCACTCTTCTATGTCTAGGGTTGTCGGAGGAAGAAGAACCACACAAGAAATGAGACCACTCCGAGGTAGACGGTGTCGGCGATCCGTAGTGATGGAGAGGTAGGCGTAGGATGTGGATGTGGAAAGGAAGGTTGACCGTCGATGATCCACTCGTAGTCTGCAAATTGTCGGTCGACGACGTGCACAAGAGTGGGGAGGATTCGATCCAAGTAACTTCCCACTGTGTCGTTGTCTCATGTCAAAGAAGGGGGATCGAAGGATTTGAATATTCACTTGGACGTCAAACACAAGTCCGCCTTCAAGCTCCGGATCCGCCATACGTCATTGCCAGTAGAAAATGAATATCAAGGGAGGGCGAGAACGAGTGGTGGTGGCAAGGGAGAAGCCGGGATTGGGCCGGCGTGAAGGCTTGAAGGGGGCGGCTAGGTAGAGAGCTCACATAAAGGGAATTTCAGGAATCCTGAAATTTTCTCAGATTTTGGGAAGGATGGAAGGGTTTAATTGTGGAATTCAAATTGAATTCCAATAAGGGGGGGATTTCAAATTTGAAATTCAGAGGGGGAAGGAGGCGGCGGCAAGGGGGGGAGGGAGCCGGCGGGCTGGTGGGCTGGCCGGTGGCTGCTGGCCAACGGGTTGGGGGGCTGTAGGCCGGCGGCCTGGGCAGTCCAGGAGGGACGGCGGCAGTGAGCAAGGGAGGGGGAGGTTGTGGGGAAAATTCTAGGGATCCAAAGAATGAAATTCCAATCTCCCACAAGTGACTTCAATCCAAATCTTCGCAACGACGACTTGATCAAGAGAAATAAAAAGAAAAGCGAAGGACAAGAAAACCTAGAAGTCACAAAGAGATATAGTTTCTCCTATGAACTCACTAAGAGATCGAGGAGGTTTGCACTCACAAAGAGAACATGAAATGTAACTTTTCATTCATAAAAAAACTAAGTAGCAAATACAATGATAAAGCCTATATATAGGCTAACTGGAAATAAAAGACAATAATGTCCTTGGGCTACAATAAACACTAACTCCCTCATAGGGGTACAAATGGAAAAACATGATAAAACTTCAAAAATAAAGACTCTAAATCATGGCCGTCGCTCGACGACCCCTCCGATGGTGTGCCGGAATCTTCTATGGATGTCCTCATCAAAAAGCTTTCAGAAGAAGGTGGTATTAAGGTGGCATGTTTTGGACAATGAAAGGCATCCAGAAAATTATCTCCACATTCTCTTTTATTTTCTCCAATTTCCCCGGTTTAATTTACCATGTTCTCCTTTTTTCCCTTTCTTGGAGTTCTCTGGCATGGCTCATGGTTGCTGTTTATCAATGTCTGATTCAAAAATTTGGAACGAAACCATCACAATGTTGTTAAATGTAATTGATTTGATCGTTTCTTAATATTCAGTGACATCTTTCTTCCTAAAAAATGGCCCATGGTATGCTTTTTGCTACTTTAGAATGGTTCCTCCATATGCATTCAAGTTGTCATAGATCAGCTGCTATGATTTACCATTTTGTATGCCTGAATTAGAACACTTCAGGCCATACTTACCACTATGCTTACTTTTTTCTGTTTAATTCGTTTTAAATGTATGGTTATATGGATCGTGTGAATTCAACTCCTGCATGTTCCTTTGTGTGATTATGTGAGTGACACCCTATGTCTTTGCGTTTGTGGTTATTTGCAAGTGTGCATGCTTTGATGTACATACTTGAGTTAGCTTGCATGAGCATGCAGTTTTGTGGTTGTGCATTTTTGGATTAGCTTGCGAAGTTGTACTGAGGAGAATTTTCTTTTCTTCATGGATATGTTTGTATTAAGCATTCTTCAAGGGTATGCTTTACTCCATTAGAAGAAAGGGGTTTATTTCTAATTATTAATGTTCAAAATGTTTTGAAACTTATATTAGAAATATAATCTATTTCCAGGAAATGGATGCCAGGCGAAAGCACAGTGGTAGGGGTTCTTTAAATCCCGCTATATCTGCACATGTGGAGAATAATCCGGCTGGAACAGCAAGAAACTATGGCATGAGGTCTGGATTTCCACGCCGTGGATTTCGTGGTAATTTTGTACCTCCCATTAAATCAAACGGGGGGAATGCTGGAAATACAATAAGCTCACGGATTTCAGAGAAAAATGATGATTTGTTGGATGATTCTACAAGAACATGGTTTGTGCTCTAAGTGGAATATGAACTTGTGCTGAGCTGATGCACCATGTTTTTTCTTGTTTTCAATTTAGTTTTTCAGATATAGTTTTTATGATTAGTAAAGGCTTCACAAGAATGTGCAGACTCAGGTTTGCCACACAAAGTAACACAATTTCTGGTAGTCACGTTAAATATCTCAAATGCTAAAGTCAATGTAAATGCAATCTGACTTTTTTTATTGGAAATTAAAATCCAATCATCCAGATATTGGTGGGAAAATTGAAGGATAAAAAGAAGATTAGATTGAAACTACCTATCATGATCTAGAACTCAAATAATTCTCTGTTCACAACACTTATCATATCTATTTAGGTTTGACTTTATGGGTCCTTTATGCATTGTTCTTGACCTTGATTGTCTAAAAATACTTTCAAAAGTGGCTTAATACTGTACAACAACAACAACATGAATCCTTACAAGCCTTTATCCCACTTTGTGGGGCCGGCTACATGAATTCTTTTTCTCTATTATGCCCTGTTAAAAGTTAAATTAAAAAAAAAGGTTATTTCTAATATTTTTCTAACCAAGTTTTTTTAGGACTGCATCTATCTTTCTTAACATTAGTCAAATATAATACATCTACTTTCCTAACCGAGTCATCGGAAGGTCGCCATTTTTTGTGACCAAACCATCTAAGGCGACTCTTTCTAATCTTATCTTCCACTGGAGCTACTCCAACCTTTTCACATATATGCTCATTTCGTATCCTGCCTCTAAGAGTAAAGCCACTCATCCTCCTGAACATCCTCATCTCTGCACCACTTAACTTAATATTATGCTTCTCTTTTAATGGCCAACATTCTGCACCATAAAGCATTGCATATCCAACCACAATCTTATAAAATTTTCCTTTAAGTTTGAGCGGGACTTTTCTATCACACAACAAGCTCGATGTATTCCTCCATTTCAACCATCCAACTTGAATTTTACTAATAATATCCAATTTATTTTACCATCACTCAGAACAAAAGATCCAAGATATCTAAATTGTGTACTCTTATTAATGAATTAATCACCCGATGTCACAATCCTCCCACAAAAACTATAATTACTAAAATTACACTCCATATATTCAGTTTTAGATCTACTCAAACAAAAGCCTTTAGATTCTAAGGTTGACCTCCATAATTCAAGTTTACTTTCAACTCCCTTTCTAGTCTTATCAATAAGAAAACATCATTAGCAAAAAACATACACTAGGGTACAAGCTATTGCAAATTACTAAAATTACACTCCATATATTCAGTTTTAGATCTACTCAAACAAAAGCCTTTAGATTCTAAGGTTGACCTCCATAATTCAAGTTTACTTTCAACTCCCTTTCTAGTCTTATCAATAAGAAAACATCATTAGCAAAAAACATACACTAGGGTACAAGCTATTGCAAATATCTCGTGAGATCATCCATGACTAAAGCAGAAAGATATTGGCTCAAAGCTGATCCTTGATGTAATCCAATTGAAATAGAAAAATACTTGGTCAAACCACTTTGTGTTTGAACACAAGTAACAGCTCCTACATACATATCTTTAATGACTTGAATATAAGCATTATTAACCATTTTCTTTTCTAGAATTCTCCATAGCATTTCTCTTGAAACTTTATTATATGTTTTCTCTAAATCAATAAATATCATATTTAAATCCTTCTTATTCTCTCTATACTTCTCCATCAAACCTCTCAATAAATGTATATCTTCCATGATAGATCTACCCGACATGAATCCAAATTGATTTTGAGAAACATTAGTATCATGATGCAATCTATGATTCATAACTCTCTCCAATAGTTTTAAGGTATGACACATTAACTTAATTCCTTTTTGATTCGCACAATCTTGTGTATCACCTTTATTCTTAAAAATAGGATTAACACACTCATTCTCCACTCATCTAGCATCTTTTAGTCTGTAAAATAATATTAAAATATTTAGTAAATAAATAAATTCCCTTATTATTAACCCCTACAACCATCTTAAAAAAAAGAAAGAAAATCAAATAAAAATTCGCACCTACCAAATCATACTGAAATTTTGTCGAAATTGGGCAGAGGTACTGCGCATTCGGCGCCTCTCTAGTCACTTCTCCACAATATATGTGGAAAACCTGCCTCAATCGCTGTTCTTTAACGTCGTCGCAAGAAAGCCAAACGAAACCTTTGTTCTTCTTCCCACGCTCGACTCCAGCAAACTGGAAACCCCTAGCCCTCTGTTCGTCACGATTCCTTCAGCTGACCTTCACACCCAATCTCAAACCTACATCCCATCTTCACCTCACACTCCCATCATTGCTTCAGACTTCTTGAGCTACCCCAATCGAAACCTTGACCCGAACTCCATAGCCCTAGCCGTAGACTCCTCATCTGACGCCTTCCTCTAGCCAAGACCGAGCTCCTACCTGCTTCTATGATTTCATCTACCCAACCTGCCCTAATCCATATAGTTTCCTCCCTACTCCAGGCCGCCGCAAACTCCATCTAACCGAGCCATCTCTGCCTTGATATATACATACATATATATATATACATACATATATATATATACATATACTTAAGGTTAGATGATGTTTTATGATTTAATAGAACTAATTTTAGAACTCCAATAGGAATGTCTCTCTATAGTCTTGTGTTTGGAAGAGTGGAAGGCTATTTCATACCAGCTAAACCCCCCCTAATCGGTTTTTAAAACCATGTATCTTGGTCTCAATGCAAATGTAGAGTGGAAGGCTATTTCATTTAGGAAGGTAGGGCTTATAGCTTGGCTTTGAGGCCAAGATGCCTATGCATGTAGGTATGCATATGCTGACTCATAAATAAAGACTTTTTGTTATCTAATCCTTAAATGAGGACTTTCTATATACAACACATTTAGGGGCTATGAATGTTTATTTTAATTTTTGAAAACTTAGCTTCTTGAAGGGAGTCATGCAATTTTCTTATTTAAAAAAACATGGAGCCGAATTTCATTTTTAGATTGTTTACATTTTAATGGATAGAAAACTTATTTTTGTCCTGAGAGCCTATGATGGAAGCACACGCTAGTAAGAAAACTGAAACAAAGAGAATAATGTATAGAACTCAAACCAAACTCTATTCAAATAGTAGCAATCAGCTATAACATTCAAAATTCGACAAAGAAACACAAAGAGACTTCAAAGAAATAAAGAAATAAAAAAAAACAATGCTATCCTCAGACAACCGTTAGAGCGGGTTCCTCACATGCATCGAAATGTATGCTAAATAAGATAAGTGCATAGGGTTAGCAAACTGATGGTCCACCATTGCAAGATCATCCAATTCTTCCAACAAATGCTTCCAAGTTAACCAACAATCACCACCAAAGCTCAAGAAGAAGGATACAGATGGAGTGGACTTGTGGAGAGACGAAAGAGGTTAGAAGCCAAGACGAAGGGTGGAAAGAGCTCGTAAGATTTCCAGAGGGGGTGGAGAAGAAGAATGGAACAAGCTCGCAAGATTTTCCAATAACCCACAGGTCAATAGCAAATTTGCTCACAATAATCAACTCTCTTCTTCACAAAAACATCTTATATTTATAGGCAAGATAGGAGAATACCAACAACCATTTTTAATGAATTTCTACAACAACCCAAGCATCATAAGTCATGAATTTCCCCATTGCTTTTCACGGAAAACAACCCAGCTCAGGAACTGAAGGAGCAACCACGGGAACCAAGGGGAACCGCACGGAACCGAGGCATCTAAAGCCACGAGAAGACCCCCAGCTCGGAAAACCAACAACCACCGTGAGAACCAAGAAGTCTAGGCACGAAATTCAGCCAGCACAGAAAACATAGCCACGATTTCTCAAGAGACAAGAAGAAAGGGGAAGGAGAAGGGACAAGTCCACTCCAAAAATTGAATCCAACTTAATGAGCTTATCTTTAGAACATTAATGAGCTACTAAACTTCAGCTCATCATTAATGAGCTAGCTACTAAGAAATTGAGCTCAACCCCAACCTTCTCCAAACATCACCATAGGCCCCAAAACTGTGGACCATAAGCCAACCCGTGAACCAGCAGCAGCCAAGGACCAATCGAGCCAGCTAACCAAAGGTTTACCAAGCCCCTTCGCACAACCTACAATGTTCATTGGATGCTTTCCCATCATTAGATAGCTAAAAAAAAGAAAAGAACATAAAACATACTAATGTTCAAATAAAAATAAAAATACAGTAATATTTGATAGCATTAGCCTACCCATCAAACAGTCCAGGCAAAAGCAAGAAAAGAAACCTAGGAAAAAAATGCATTTCTATTGCACAATAAGGTAAACAATCAAACATGCTTTTATTTATAAATAAAGTGCAAGAAATGTAAACAGAGTCCAAGTTATTACAAACAGGTTTGACAGTTGAGTTGCCTGCCATTATACAACCTAGTCAAATTATTACAGACTCTACTTGTGTGGGCTTGAAGCTTTATCTTTCAAGTAAACCTGAGGCCTCACCTTCCACTGGTACATCCGTTTGGTTCACCTTCTTTTGATCCAGATCCCCACAAGTTTTACATCCTACTTCTATCAAATACATTTTTGAAAAGAAAAGAGACTCAAACCTGCAGTGGATTAGAAGCAGTTTATATATAATAAAGCATTACATCCAAAATTTTGTTTAGCACTTAGAGTGCTAAACACATGCTTCTACCCTATTGGCCACATCTTTGATGGGTTTTAAGCAGCATCTGTCATGTAAGCATTTTATTATTTATGAGCAGTCTCTTTAGATATGACCACCGGCAAGAAGAACAATGTATATTTCTATACTATCTACTTAAGGGAAAGTGTCCACACACAGAAAATCCAAGGGCAATCACACCAAATCATCAATCACATGTGCACAAAAAAAAATTCTAGTCCTAGCATGCCTAGTGGCTGTGCACCTAAGTATGTGATGATTATGTAGCATGTCACCCTAAGGGTGTTTGATTTCATTTTGGAATGAAG